AAGTGAGAATGGTCTCATTGCTACAGCTAATTTCCATAGAATTCTAAATTCACCCCACATCAGCCATCAGGTTTATACTGAGCCCACATGCTCAGCTACAAGCTGCTGAGGCCTTTTTTCAGCAGCAAGTCACAACATGACTGAAATACAAGTAAATGGTCATGGTATACGCAAGTTTTCACCCGCAGAAAGCTCGGGAGAAGAGACTAAGGGCCAGGGCTGAAGCCATGCTGGGACATCAGCGCTGCACCAATGGCAGCATCAGACCGTGTCTCCGGGTGACCCGGGCATGGCATGGGGCGGTCACCGAGAGCTTTAGTGCGGTTCTTGTATCTCTCCTCTCTTCTACCAGTAATTTTTGCTGCAATTAGAGCTGGCAATTGGGTTATAACAGGCCGCCTTCTTTCCATTTTTAGTTGTGACTGCTGCTGCGTGGCTCCAAGCGCTGCCTGAAGTACCTTTGTATGACTTGCCAGCGGTAACAGGAATTATTTGTGCTATGCTTCTTCTGCAGGGAGGCAGGCAAACTACAGCCTCGTCCTTCAGAAACTTCCATCTGCCACCGAGGTCAATGAGATTACTTCTCTGTACGTCTGTATCATCCGAAGGACATCCTTTGCATTGCAAGGAAATAAAAAGCGATCTGAACATTTTGCACAAAATGAGAAGTGCGTTTGCAGATGGCAAGAAACTAAAGAGAACTGGATGACTCCACACACTCAGGGTGACTCTAAACTTTGTCCAAGACACAGACGGGGAAGATAAACCCCAAGAAGTAAACGTAGTGACTTGCCAAATGCTACAGGACTCAAAAGAAACCATTCCTTGTAACTGTTCTGCCCTGAGCTCCAGGGGAAGGAAAAGACATCACTTGAATTTGGTCACTGGCCCTTATTAATTTTTACTTAAATTTTCTCATCTGCAAGGCATTAGCACGTGGGCCAGCTGAACACGGGATCTCCTCCTTTCTTGCCAGAGGTCTGAGCAGCTCATGCTTGTGCTATCATTGCTCTCGCTAGCGGCTGGCGAGAGTCCTAAGTCCCGCAGCTTTCTGCTGCTCCTGAATGCTCTTCTTGGGCTCAGACAGCGAAAGCCCAATTTGGAGCAGTGTGTCTGAGCTCCCATCTGTCTGCCCCTACAGCTGCTCAGCTGGCACGTCTGGGTCTGTGCCAGCTGGGAGTCACTGCTGCTCCTTTGCAGGGTGGTGCAGAGAGGGTTGTATCAGGGAAGATGAACTTTTAAATCCTAAGTTAATTGCATTCTTTCAAGGCTGTCCAAAAACAAAACCAGGGGAAAAGAATTTCGAGAGCGTAACAGAACTCCCAAGTTACCTGGAAAGAAAGCGCAATCTAGTGCAGTGTGTTTTCATTGTCCCACTCTGTTCCTTCAGTTCCTTCTGATTTCTTGTGCTTCAGCCTGTGTCCGGGTATTGCAGGTATCTGCTTTGTCTGTGAAAATGAAAGACCAGAAGGAATTGCACCTGGTGCAACTGGTGTATATTTAGAGTTTAATTCACAAAAGGAGCAGGCTGCCCTGGGCAATCCTGAGTTGGACCATGTACAATAGAAGAGAGCGAGCTAGGTGCTCAGGTCTGGCAAGTTTACAGAGAAGGTGCCATTAAAAAAAAAACCCTAAAGACTGAACTCAAATCTCCTATGTCCTCTTGGCTTACGTACTCCTGCACAGGGTAATGTGTGCACAGGTAGTGCCAGTAGGTAAAAGAGTAGAGATTTCGGGCTTAGTTTTCATGCATCCTTGAAAATAATTTGGCCACTGAGTATGAGGGCACTCTAAGTCCTTCTCAGATGCATCTCAGTGAGACCCAGCCCAGTACTCATGCTCTGAAACCTCTCATAAACTGGCCTTGCTGAGCCAGATGGGTCTGGGGATTTTTATGAGGCGTAGATACGAGCTGTGGGGGTTCCCTGTGGCTGAGTCGTGTCAGCTTCTGGGGATATGTGTGCTGCAAGAAAAAGGGGTGCTGGTAGATAATCGGGCATGCACTTTATATGCCTCTGAGGGTAACGAAAAGCAGAATGGAGTTTATCAAGGATCTTGGGAGTGAAGAAACGTTAGACCCAAGTGCATGAAGTAGCAATCAGTTGCCCAAATTCCTCAAGGCACTCAGCTCTAGGAGCTAATCCAACTCCCCCTGGAGTCAACAGGAACTGCAGAGTGTCCTGCAATGGTACCACTGTGACCAATGGTACCTAAAAGACTTGGAAATGTTTAAATCATATTACAATTGGCCGGATTCAGAAAAAGTACATGAATAGCAGAGGAGGTCTGTACAATTTCATATTACTTCACTGTATTTGCCAGGCAGGAATAGGTGGTTTGAAAACCATTTAAAAACATTTAAGCAGGTCCCTAATCACAGTTATAATATGTATGCTTTAAACACAACTTACTGAAAAAAACAAAATCCCTTCACTTGCAAATTTATAATAAAAAAATAGTTCTTGAGCTCAGAGAATGTTAATGCACTTAAACATGTTTTGATGAGTAAAATAATAAACTTAGGTAATTCTGCTGTGGCTTGGAGTCCTATCTATTCAAACTCCTAAATCCTTGGGGACAGAGCCTGTCTGCCTCGATTTATGAAGCACTTCACATAGCAGGGTCCCTCCTAATGAGTAACAGTCCCTGTGATGAAAAATGGGCTAAGATACAACCCTAAGAGAGGTCTAGCTGCCAAAAGAGAGCAGTGTCCTATTCACACTCTTAATAAACAAACACATAAATTATCATAGTTAGATTTACCCCTGGTGGGAATCCCAAAGGAAAAGAAATTTTTCTTCTTTTGGTTACCTGCCTCTGCTGTTTCCAAAATTAGTCCCTGCAGCTCTGGAAGAACCTTCCTAAACTGGGTCTTCATAGTCGATCTTTGAGTCTTTCTTAGACTGTGACTTGCCCCTACACATCCTTCTGAAATTTATCTTTCAGTGGGCTTAAAATTAGGATCACCAAATACTTTGACCTCTGCTTACTTCTTCAAAGGGCCACTCAAATGCAGCATCTGAGATGGAGGGTACACACAGACCGGCACATGGACACATGGACGTCAGGGGGGTCTTTATCTGCCACCATGCAAGCTCCTGCCAGATGAATGCCTCTTGAGTGAGGTCTCTGTCATACCACATACTCTTGAGCCCATATCAGGCAGATACAGAACACAAATATCATTGAGTGTTTCTGGCCAAATGCATCTTGATAAAAGCTGTGATTATTTTTATAGTATGATACAGATCCACATGTGATGGTTTTTCTGTTGCTCTGGTTCCTTCTCCTTCAGGCAAATCACTGCCATACTTCAGCTGGCAGGCTCAAGTATGCAAACTCGCAAATTAAAAGTTGGTTTTCTGAGGTTAAATTCCAAAATGTTTTTCTACTACTACAAATTTAAAGGAAAGCAAACTGATGGGTACCCCAAACCTATGCAAAACAAAGTAAGATAAATGAACAGAGTAAAATACCTGTATAAAACTTCATGGAAATATTTTCAAACATTTCTAATATTCCTAGTTCATTTTCACCAGCTTTTTCAATTTACTCAGCAATCAACCTAGTACTCATGATCTTGCCTTTAAGTTACCCAATTTGTTTTCAAGAGCTGACCACTGCGGCTCCTCAGACTTCAAGCTTAGGTTATATTTCTTACTGGAATCAGCAGAAGCCTTTTTTATTGTCTTCGAAGCATTAAAGGAGTGGCACAGGAAATTTAGAGAAATGATCCAGAGCTTTGCACTTTTTTATGAAAGAGATTTGCAGTAACTACTATGCAAATCTTTTGTCATGGCCAACGGGACACTTAGACTAGGTTTGCTTGATGATGCTTCTAGTTCTTCAGTGGTTTGGGCTTGCACAGGTTAAATCTGACTTAAACACTAGCAACAGCCTTAGGCCAATTTAGGACTTACTACCAAGGTTTCTGGGGAAGCCAGCTTCTGGGGGTGCTCCAAAGCAACAGTCTTCTGCACAAACATTCACAATCAGATTTGTGGGAAACAAGTACAGGATTGCACAGTTCTTCTGTACAAAGAACTGCAACCAAATCATTTGCATGAATCTCTGCAACAATACAGCAGAAGTAAAAGATGCAAATTTAGGACAACAAGACAGCCTACATTCATTTTTACTACTTATTTTCATGTAAAAGTAATGAAATAAACATTTCAGTGGTGATGCAAACATTTGATGCCAGAGGTGTGTACCGGCTTCTCTTGCATTAAATGAAGTCAGTACTGAAGTTGATGGTTGCCTGTTTTTGGTAATTCAGCAGGTAGGAATAGTTCTGCACATTTTAACATGGTTCTTGATAATCCCCTGACTTTTAAGAGTTAGGTAGCAAGCAGCATTTCAGACATGGCTAAAACTCAACATTTATAGTCAGGGAAATTCAGCCCATTTGATCCTCTACCACTGAAGCCAGCAGGATTGTTCAGGTGAAGCACAGTCACCCTAGAGCTGGTGTAACTGCAATCACCTACAGGTATGTTATATACAGGCCTGCTGGGAGGAACTGCTGAAGGGCATCAAGTATGAAGTTCAGGCCCAGATCCAGAATTCAGCAGACTGTGAGATACTGGTTTATCCAACTCTTACCAACCTCAAGTTTGAAACTGGAGCTGAACTTGCCCATTTTTTGCATTTTAACACGGAGCTCGGATTCAGGCTATGTTCTTAAGAACATGTTGCCTTTGACACCATTCTAACCACGCTCACGATCCTTATACAACTGCATCAGATCCTTCATCAAAGACATTCAAGTCTCTTCCAAAACCTCCCTTGGGGAAAATCGTAACATTACAATAAAGATGTTACTCACTGCATATTAGAGATGACTTATAAAACCCCCAAAAGCTAAAATGCTGAACACCCAATGAATATCAAGGCTGCCTCTGAATTTAAAACTCTCCAGTAGTTTACAATGAGAATTTGACCCTAATCACCATTTTATTATTTTTTTTTCCAAAGAAACAAAAGAAATTTCGAAAACTCTACCTAGAATCACTCGTTTCTGCCAAGCGGTTGTTCATGATGGCTAAAGCACCCACCCCTGCAGAGAAACCGTTTTGTCTCGTATTGATACAAACATTCCTTGGGTAGCCGTTGGCTGTCTCGGACAACTGCTTTTGCAAAATGGCCAGGGAGACTTTATTTGACGCCGTGAGCTCCCTCATGGAGATCATCTCTCCAGAGAGCCTCCTCCCCTCGGTGTCACTGTCATACTGTCCATCAGCATCCATAGAGATGTTATGCCGACGTAGGCGAGCTCCTGGGGTGATGGCGTTGCGACGTCCGAGGCGGGCACTTGATTTATGGCACTTTGGGCAACATCTGCACTCGAATTTTTTCAACACCCAGTTCAAAACTTGCTTGATAACGATTGAGATGACATTAAAAAGAGAGTATATGCAACATACCCCCATTAATATAAATACGAAGTTTCCGAATCTGTATAATCCCTGATTTTGGTATGCAGCGTTTTGGCTGCTTACCAAATCTCCAAAGCCGATGGTGCTGAACGTGACAAAGCAATAGTACAAGGAATCAACGTAGTTCCATCCTTCCACTGCCGTGTACATGGCAGAGGCGCAGCAGGAAAGGGTAATAGCAAAAATTCCCAGAATCAGCATCACGTGGTAAACGGACGGTTTCCACCCTACGAGGCTGCCCACCCCGGACATAGCTGTCCCCCTTCGGAAGTTGGGAGGTAGGAGACCACTTCTTCGCAGCTGTCTTTCATGGCATGCCTTCATGATGAACGCCAGGAGAGAGATAATGCGTTCCAAGAAGAGGTTGAAGAAAAGGATAGTCCCGGCACACCCAAAAAGGCCGTAAACGATGAGGAATACTTTTCCAGCCACGGTTGCTGGTGTGGTCATTCCAAAACCTAAGGTGTGGAGATAAATGGTTAATGTTAACAACACAGATTTTCACGCATGAGCTCAGGACACATGTAACTGAACAGGTCCCACCTCACTAGGCAAAAGGAGTGCTATCCTTTAAGTCAGCTGAGGCAAAATGAACTTTGTAAAGAATGGAGAAGGCACCAGAAAGCTCAAGGAGATGGCTAAGAGGCCATTTCCTTGCTCCCACGCATGGCCTGAAAGAAAGTTTCAGCTCCCTCTTCACAAGCTGTAACCCAGCATAACGCTTTTGTTATTGAGCTCTGATTATACCATTCCCTCTGAGAAGATGGAAGTTTTTAGGCTGGATAACAGAAAAAAAAAAAGGCCCACAACACCTAATATCAAATATTGTTTTAAAAATAACAACACTTTATAGTCTTAATGGAAGCCCAATTGCAACTAGCCCACCTGATACCACGGCAGAAGGAAAGCAAAGCCATCAGCAAGAAACCCACACTGCAGAGCCACCTGGCAGACTGGGAGCACTGGGATCCTGCAGACTGGTAGTTACAGCTGGGAAAAACACTGCTGCACAGTTAAACAGAAAAATCAGAGTCTACAAGCTCTGGAAAGATCCAGCAGCAATATTAATTCACCTCTTCTTTTCAAGAGTTGTATTTTGACATTACTCAGACACATAACTTTATATATAAGCAGTAATGCCTTGCAGCTACAGATGCTTGAGTAACAGCAAGTTATTTTAAATTTGCATGCAAATAAATGCAGTAAGCTTGCTCCATGTTATTTGCTGATACCAGTTATTTCATGTAAAAGAATTACATATATTTCAATATTTCACATACTATCTCAGGAAGATTCTTCTAGAACCCAGCTCTGTAGGTGTTGCCCTTGTTCTGATATTTTTCCCTATAAAAATATTCAGTGGTTCAGCCAAAAAGGAGGACTGATATGACTGCTTGTGTTACATGAATAAATAACCACATGTAATCTGAATTAATGGTTTGTGAAAAATCCACATGCTGAAACTTCTTTACCTTATTGTTCCACGGAAATGCTGAGCAAGTAACATATGCAGGGAAGTAAATATCAACACTAGACTCCATCAGTGGAAGTTTGTAAAGAAAAGGAGCTACTTTTAGCATAAAGCATAATGAAAACATTAAATCCAGTTTATTATCATGACGCACCTTTAAACAGCAACAGGAGAATATTATCTCTGTATAATGAGTTGAGATTGCTGCTTGAAATCTACTGATTAATTTCTGTAATGGCTGTATTTTTCTGGGTAATTTATTTGTGCTGCCTTCATTCCTCATTGATGGAGAATTTCGCATTTGTTGATAAAGGAATGTAAATGCTCGTGACAAGTAAACTTGGAAATATCTTTTCAATGACATGAAGGGGCGCGAGCAAAGAGTTGGTGCTGCTTTCACTGCAGATGTGGCATGCTTGGAAACAGCTGTGTGCCAGCAATCCGGGCTATACTGCATCATCACTATCCTCACAGTAGAACCAGTCTTTTCTTTAAAAGGCAGCAAAAAACTTGCACGGCATTACCAGAAAATAAAGAATTACCAAAGAGGTCATCAGATTTTGTTTTCTGGATGCAGGATCTCTCCATTTTGTTGTGCTAAAAGACCACCTTTGAGCAGATCTCACAAAGCCTGCCCTGGGGGCTTAACACGGGTGACTTGCAAGCTCCTCTTGGTTCCTCCTTCTCCTCTGTGGGGTGAAGCTGTTAGATGGGTTGGGCTGCTCGTGCGAGCCTTCTCATCTGATGATGGATATCCCCTGGTGCCTGATCCCCAGAAGAAGCTGGGGAGCCTGTTGCGGTTGCCAGCCAGGGATACCCGGCCAGCTCACTATGGAGAAGGCATCTGTTTGCCCATGCCTTGTCAGCAAAGCATTTAAACATGTGCTTCACAGCAAGCATGTGAACATCACCATCAAAATAAATGGGTTTATTGTCACACATATGGCAAAAACACATTTATTAATTAAAAAAAAAAAAAAAGAGAGATAGTGACAGTTTGGATCCCGTTGTAAATGCGCTGAAGCTTTTTTGATATTTTCTACGGATCATTCATGAGAGGTGGTGAAGTTTTTTATTTTAACGCAGTTTGTTTAAGCAAGATTCTCTGAAGCACAGTGTTACCAAAATCCAGTGTGTAGGCATGCAAAGTGAAAGGACTCATCACAGCAACGAAAGTGCTCAGAAATACATAAAATGGGCAAAAAAGTAAGAACACATGAATGCAGTAACTTCAGTCAACAGCCAGCAGAGAGAAGTGCACTTGTGTACTCAAGGGTCTTTGTTCATTAGTTGTGACTGTCCCTTTGGCACCACCTGGACCACGAGGAGTTAGTCCTGGCGTGTTCTTTACAACATGTCTGAGCTCAGTCCCCGCTCAAGGCTAAGTACTTCATGACATGTGGATGAAATGAATTAATCCAGAACTGCCTGTGCTTCTGAGACAGTACAAGGAAAGAAAGACAGCAATTGTGCTTTGCATTTTTCATGGCCCTAACACATACGGTATGGGTACCTGGGGCTTGTTTGTTTGTGGCTCAGACACAGTATTTCAACTTCCCTCCATCTAATTCTGCCCCATTACTTCAGCTACAAGCTCTAGGGCCGTACTGATTTCAGCTATTTGATACTTCTCCTCAAACAGAATTAGTAGAGATGAGTTGATAAACACTCTCAGATAACACTTATCCTTCAGCAGCCTCTCATGGGTAAGTGCTGGCAATTAATGAGTCCCTCACAATAGGTTTTGTGGTTACTTGCATAATAGGTTTTGTGGTTTCTATCCTCCTCATCTGGATTTTTATATTACTTAAATTGGTGATGGATTCAAGAGGTAGTGCAGCTGAACAAACTTGTGATATGCTTCCTGTTCCCCTTGTTTTCTTTTCTTTCACCCATTTTCTTACAGGTAAAAGAGATGGTTGATGATAGAAGACAAAAAGCAAGAGCACCTGTGAACTGTTCCCTTGGGCCGGTTGGTTTGGCAATTATCTTGTTGTACTATATTTCGAGATTAAAGCAGGGGTGAATGGACGACAGTTTTCCAGGAAAGACATATTTCCCAGAGATGGAGGAAAGTTTTGGTCACCCCTAAAACTAGACACAAAGAAGTCTTCCAGCCTTTACCATGGCATCGTGTGCCCCTGCCTCTTTCAGCCAGCCCCCCAGCTTTTCTTATCCTCTTATCCAGGTGCCCTGCCATGGGGCTTGGTTCATGCAACATAGCTGAGCAATCACTTTCAATCCAAGTGTAACAGCACTTAGATCACGGGAGCAGTGTCACCTCTATACCATTACGTAACTAGAGCAACATCACCTCTATACCATTATGTAACTATGATACTGTTATATATAAAGGAATAAAAAGAAACCCAAATTGTTGAATCTATCTTTTTTAAACAAATAGTTTCTAAGAAATAAACAAAAAAGCCTCTAAGCAGAATCATTTTTTCAGAGGCTAGGAAATTCTTGCATCGTAAAGACTAAGCTCTTACAGGGCTTGTCTGCAAGAGATGGGGGTTACAGAACACAGACAAATAAACTAAGAGCAACCAATTTTGTTTCATTTCTGTTCCACACTTGCTTTACTTCACGGCTTTCCAATAGTCTTGGTTGGTCTTTATTGACTGACACATATACTGTACCTGGAACAAAACATCATAATCTAAAAATTCTATATTTAGGTTCTGGTGCTCCCTTCAACCCCTTTTCCTCCCAATAGCATTTCAACATTACTGTCCCTGCCAGAGTCACACCTGTACATTTCACAGCTACCTCGCATTTATTCCATAGCTCTTTACCACCTAACATCCAGAAACAGTTGCCTTGGATACAGGGTCACAGCTCAGAGCCGACAAAACCACTGCAGATGGAAACCTTCTGCTGCATCCAGCACTTTTACCCACGGACTGAGGATACTACCAGGCAGTTCTTCCACCTGGGCCTTGCATTTGCAGATTAAGAATGAAAAACTTACTTTCCCTTTAACGCTTTTGTCAGCCTGCTTTATTAAAATACCCCATGTCAGGCTCAAACAGTACATTTCTTTTAGAGCTTTTCCAGTGCCAGAGCCTTTAATATCAAAGTTACTGTACAATCACATTTGATCTTACTTAGATTACTACCTGGAAACAGAGTTCCTGAATGGTAGTGGTCTGTCCAGCACTGTGTGCATTAAGAGATTTTACATTACATCCATTCTACATCTGAAGACATGAGATACCACCGTAGTTTTTAGGGCTGGCCTAACCTGTATCATACATAAGTTTCTAGCCCTTGGTGACCCATAGCCTGGAGCAGATAGTCCATGGAGAACATACTGAGTGACTATGCAAATAAGGACTGACTGCCATAATCTATCTATCTATCTATCTATCTATCTATCTATCTATCTATCTATCTATCTATCCATCCTTGGTAATATATATACCACTTCAGGTTGAATAAGCACACTGTTTCTGGCATTTCCTAACATTTTTGTAATTTTAACAACATTCTTTATAACATGGACTTGTTCTCCTGAAAGCCTACAGTAAATAGATGGTCAGAGGTTCTGCAAATTTGCTTTGTGAACCAGGGTGGGCTACACCAGGTCTTTTCCTTCCTCTGACTCCTATGACTGTTCAGTATATAAAAACGTGCATACATGCACCCAATCTGCCAGCAACTGTGGGAAAAGATGCCCAGTTTATTCTGTGATCTGAAAGAGCACCAGGATAAACTCAATGAATATAGTTAAAAACCATCCAGGTCACCACTGTTGCTCCTTGTTACATCTCCACTGGTGAGATATTAGTCCGATGTTTGAGATAGCTGCTACTCAAAGGGCTACGCTGGCAGAACAGAGCCAGGAGATGATTAATTATACACTAAGGAGTTTCAGGGAGCTGCAGGCAATTATTAAAGGCTTTCCACAGCACGAATTTTATTCTGTTTACACACAACTCTGATCAGGCTATTGGTTATCCAAAGCGCTGCTACGCAGAACATCAGTGAACACCAGAATCGATCACCCTCAGCATTTCTCTGCTGGCTGTGATTTAAACTGCAGCCTCAAAGGCCATGGCCACATTTTCATTCCTCTTTAAAGTATACTGGTTTTTGAAATATTTCATTGAATTCTCAGCCTAAAAGACCCTAAGCTTCTTCGAAAAAAGTGATTAAATCAGCAACCATGACATTAAATAACTAAAAGGTAAGGATAACGAACATTTGTTAGTTACCAGGTGTATGAGAAGGGTATTAGAACAGACTGAGAGGTATCAACATTTTTCTGTAGAGGTGAATGACAAAGATGAACCTAAAATTATGCCCAACAGTGACTCAGGTGAGGATGAGAGACAGGTCCAGGCAGAAGCTTCTTGTGCCCAGGGCTGGGAGGCAGCAGGGACAGCGATGCCTGGACTCCCCAACTGTTCTGGCAACTTGTGACTTCTGCTTGTGGCCACATCAGCAGTCAGGTTAGCGGGCCCCATGCCCTATGTAAAAGACATCCTGAGTGACAGAGCTGCAATAATTTATTTAGGGCAAAGGATACGCTGGACCTGAGAGGAGTAAGGGTGAGGTTTCTTCTCAGAAACCTCAAGTGTTATCACGTTGACAGGGGTCTAAGGCATTACGAGTAGCCTCTAAAATCCCCCAGGAAAGGGGAGAGGAATAACCTCCTCAAAACCTGGTGGCTTGTGTACGCTTACCTTCCCCTTGCAGCAGGTTTCCAAAGTGTGTTTCTTCTATGCCAACACCTTCTAGCTGAGCTTTCCAAGAAAAATCTTCAATTTCTAGTGAGTACTCAGCAGTACACTTATCAGTTCAAGTGGCTTAACTTTTGTAAATTTGAGCGATAAATCACCCTTAAAAAGAGAAATGCTGTGGCTTCAGCTTCACCAGGAACAGCAGCACTCTCACTCAATTTACGAGAAGTAGGTAAGCTTTTTTCGCAAGTTGTATTGCTTGTTGCCCCTTCTGCGTACTGCGTGAGAAGGAAGCGCATACCAAAGACTAATCACACAAGCCCACCCTTGCCCACCGCTAAATGCTATTATCATAAAGACATAGCCCAATAAATACAGAAGGAGGTGGATCATCTGGTCTGGCCAAGCTGCTTTGGCGCAGACCCAAGCCAAGGAAGCAGCAGAAGTGTCTCTAAATCAGTTTTACGTTTCCCTGGCTGAGGCTGGCTGCTCTTCCATGCACCTTGTGCAAGCAAGCAGGGACTGACTTGTGCCAAGCCACCAGCGCTGCCAGCTGAGCAGCAGCTCTGGCCCGAGGTGTTGCTAAGCAGCGCCCCCTGAGGAGGGAACACATAGGGAGGGTGATGGGCTTGAGGCTCCAGATCTCTGGCAAGCCTATGTTTGGGTTTTCTGGTTAACCCGATTGCAACAGAACACAGTTTCTAACAAGGGATAGAGGCTCTCTCCTAAAAGGAGATGATGGAGAATGAAGCTCAGAGACGGAAGACAATCGCAGGAGTGTGAATTCAAACTGCACAGAGAAAAAGTCAGGACCTACATACAAGCTGGCATTGTTCTTGCTGACTCTCGTGTGTAAAGGGATCGAAGTGTCCTGTGGCATGACAAGCTTCCTTCTTTATTAACATACTATTCATAAATAAAAATTCTTCCAATGCTTCAGGTTTTATTGCTCTTATAAATAATATAGTATTTTTCTTTGCTGAACTCCTGGGGCCAGACTCAGGTTTACAATTATAAAAATCAAAACCAAAACTATTTTCTTCATTTTATGCTACCTTTCTTGGGCAAGTCTTAAGCAAGATGGTACTAAACCTCCTCTTGTTTTGTCAGTTACCCTGCCCCTTGGCACAGCTGGTGTGCTCTAATGGCTTGTTAAAACAGAAAGAACATGGGTTAGTGTTGGCTAAATTAAAATTATGATGCAGCCCATCTCCTTGTGAACTGCCCTAAGCTTGTCCAGAGCTGCTTCTTGTGGCTGCCTCCACACCTGATGATTGTGGAGTTCTACCTCTGGTTTGTTTTGTTTCCTCATCTTAACAGCTGGGGAAAGCCATTTTGCTATAATTTTTTCTGAAATGATGGTGGTGTTAACAATGGAAAAATACAGCCCACACACTCCTCAGTTATTTAAGTTACATTACTGTGAAAAAACTCTTCTTTGCACTAGAGAGTAAGGGTCTTCAAAATTTTGCATTAAGAGCTGTCGAGGTTGTATCAAAGCTCTGCTCACACTCGAGGTTGTGTGCAGAAGTATTTGCGTTGGCTTTCTGCACTGCTGAATCTCAGCTAAAACACGGAAGCTTCTGAGACACCATCAGACCGAGGAAACAGCCCTGAATTTAGAGTAACTATTTTTAAAAATCTGCAGAAAAAAAAAAGCATGACAACCAAAAAATACACAAAGTCCATCTCAGTAACCACAGATATAGCTGAAGGTATAAAGTGGCAAACTTCTGTTGAGATGTGTCCAGTACCTGAAGCCATACACGGCCACCTTCTCTGACCTTCCTACTGTCTTCATGTAGTTGATGATATCATTCCAAATGAACACTGTTTTCAAAAGTTGATTTCTTCCTACAATCTTAATTTTTTCACCCTTTAAAGCTGCTTCCACTCTTATTTTCCTCTGTTTCTGAGAATGTTTTTTGTGTGGATAATTGTGTATCTAAGCAACAACTTATCAGGAAAAAAAGCTTATGCCCTGTCATTTCAAATGGACTGTTTCAAACATTAGCATTCCCACCTATTTTTGCTGTTTATTGAAACTTGCAGTTGCATTTCAGATGTTTGAGTAGACCCAAGATTGTGCTTTTTTTTTTTTTTCTGAACTGCAAGAGAAAAAGAATGGCATCCAAATTTTGTTATACTCTTGAGACATTATGGACTTTGAGAGAATACTTGCATGTGTACTGCCACTCCAGTGCCAGTACATCTCACAACACTCCTTTCAGGCTAAGAAATAGCATTATCAGAATTTCACAAGTGATCTTGGGCATATGTCATATTTCCACCCATAAGAAGTCTGATAAAACAAGATGTCACTCCTGGGCTTCCTAAGACTTACAGATGGGAAAGGCTAGCAAACAATTAAATCGCTGGCTTCTCTTTGAACTGGATTAAACAATAGTCTCGCAGCATACTTGTCTTCTGCCACCTACCTGTGTAGGTAGGTATTCAGAGAACATCTATTTCTTGACAGCCGTCTCAGCTCCTCTTCTTTACAAGAGTTAGCCTACGAAGATGGACCTACAGGATAAACTGACCCTAAACATACGAGCATCTTCTCTAGTGTTTGGCCATTTTTTTTCCAAATCTCTGCGCAAACTTATACAGTTACAATTTAACAAAAAAACTCTGATAAATCTACCTTGACTTCTTACCAGTTTAAATAGGTGTTCACAAGTGCCTTATTTCAAAAAGTTCCTGTTGAAAGCAAAGAAGCAAATTCTCAAGTAGCTTTTTGCTCAGGCAGCTCTAAATCATTCGCAAAGGCACAAAGACCTAATTTTAAGTAACTGTAACAGAAATAAAGGGTGACAGGACTGCTGACTAACCAGTTATTTCTCATTTTCTATTTATGCATTTAACTCTTTCTTCCTTAGTATGCATTTCTCTGAACAACTTTATCAAGAGCATTTTGAGCTTTTGGTTTTATCTGAGACTTTCCTGGTCCTCACAGCCCTGCCAGTAGTAGGTTTTGTAAATTGACAAACTGTTCTAACAAAACAGCTTCTTTCTACTCCTCTCATTAAAATCACAATTTGGATTTAAGATCTTTATAGTGCACTCCTTTCCAGCACCAAAGGGCTTAAAGTAGACTTGACTCCATACACATTGAGCCCAAATGACACAAATGTATTTTTTTGTTTATCCTCAGGCAATAAACATATTACTTGTACACTTCTCAGTCTGAGCAAAAAGATGATAGAATATTCAAGCTCAGAGAGGTTGCAATTCATTGAGGAATCATTGTGGGATTACAACTATTACCAAGGTATTACCCCTTTCTTCATCAATGAGTAAGGAGCACTTGCTATGGGTTTTTAAGCACAAGCAACAGCAGTGCCTCACTTATATAAGTAATCGCATGTTAACATCAAACTGTTCAATTTCTTATCTTGTTCCACTTCAAAGCTTTAATTACTTGAAAAGGCTGTTAATACTTTGCCTCATCTAATGCAATTAGATTAAATTTTCATTCTACTTCTCATTTGATTCAAGAGAGACCTTTCAACATCTATAGCTAGGTGTGCCACCATCACCATCAACAGACCCACGGAACTCAGGGAGGTATTTTGCTTACAATAATGACAAGTGCTGGCAACATCAGACCTACATTTGTTTTATAAACCTTGTGTGACAATAAAATGAGTAAGTGGTATTTCCTAGAGCTCTGTAGGCTGGTCTACTGTTGACATCAGCAAGAGCAGGCTATTGAGATATAAAATTAAACATACTTGATCTGTCTGGATTGCGATACGATTGTCTCTTAGACCCTTTAGATTACAATTCTGTTTGTTACTTAAGAGTGTCTATTCACAGAAGGTTGTATCATCACTCCTAAGATTTATTGTGCTCAGGAGGACCAGCATGTTTCAAATGTTCACCAGCATGAAACATTGCACCAGGGGAGGTTTAGGCTGGACATTAAGAAAAATCTCTTCACCAGAAGGGTTGTTAAGCATTGGGACAGGCTCCCCAGGGAAGTGCTTGAGTCACCCACCAAACCCAGAGGTATTTAAAAGATGTGTAGATGTGGTGCTTAGGGACATGGTTTAGTGGTGGACCTGGCAGTGGTAGGTTAACAGTTGGACTCAATGGTGTTAAAGGTCTTTTCCAACCTAAATGATTCTATGATCCTATGAACCCCAATCTTTGTCGTCATCCAGCTTCTCCCAAAATTCACTCAGATACACACTTGGTGGTGACTCACTATGAAAATTGTCTCTTTTGATAAAGGTACATGGGTAGAGGCTACGTTTCAAATAATAGCAAGCTTCACACTAAAACCTGGAGATTAAATGTTCTGACTTGGTTTTCTGGTTGCTCTAACTCTGATACTTCTACAGCAAGAGGTGAAATTCTCTTTGACTTCCACAGCTGCAAAGACGAGGTAATACTGCACAACACCAGGAGTTACATGAAGTTAATTGCTAACAGATCTATAATTGTTTTCCTCTTCTCTCCATGATGGAGAGCAATTAAAGTTTGCATAGAAATAATAAAAGCATCGGTAAAAGTGAAAAAAGAAGACAAAGCGGTAATGTGTATGTTCTGTGTCAAGGAAAAGGAAGAAATAGTTAAGACTGAAAACAGAAATGAAGGTCAATAGCAGGATTAACACTAGGGAAGAGGGACAGGTGTGATGAGGAACAGAAAGAAACTGTAAAGCTTTTTTCTTCTATGGTAGTTGTTAACTTCAAAGACTGCAAAGATATCAAACAAATACTTGAAATTTAATCAGACAAACAACCCATCAGTAGAAGAGGGCATGCTAATTGGGAGGGAGGAAGCAGAAGCTGGAGAAACTAAGATTGCCTGGGAAAGGCAGATGACTGGGGAGCATTAGACCAAGTGTAAGAGACGTAAAGAGAGAATGTCCCCAGGAGAGCAAAGCACAGGTGGGGACAGATGCTAGGGCCTGGCCAGGCTCCATGGGAACACAGCTTGTAGGGCTTCAGGCAGGATTTGGATTTATGAGCCTGCAGCAAACAGGGCATCTGATAAGCCCAGAAATTACGATCCCTCACTGCTATTACAAGCGCAATAACTGTTTTATGGGAAGGTTGCTTAATAACACAGAGCGACTGGCTGGAGCCATGCATGTCACCTCTGCAGATGGAGAGCTGTCAAAGTGGCATTTTGGCCTGCCAATATTTGGTTTGTAATCGCATCTCCAAGCTCTTGTAAATGTATACGGAACTGAAATAAGGTATTTGCTGCCCAGGAGGACTATCACTGAAAACCAAAATGAATGTCATGCTAAGCAGGATGTACATACCCACCAAATCAACATTAATCCTTCAATTACCCAAACTAGAGGTACCTCCTGCAAAAAAGGAGAATCCTTGATTACAAACCCCAGTTTGTCTTTGTTTTGAACCTGAGCCAGAACGCAGTGAGTCAACAGAAAACTTCCTCTGACTTCTGAGATGTGGGACCATATTTCAGTGTGATGTTGGGCAAATTCTTTATTCTCTGATGTTATAGACGAACTTTGTTTTTTGGGTGACTGCTATGAGGTGCTGTGGTGCTTGACGTTCAGTTTGGAGACCTCAGGTTTCAGTGGTCCAGCTGAACACCCGAAACTCCGCAGCCACAGCAAAGAGAAGTGCAATTTGGTTGTCCTTGACCGAACTTCTCCAGGCATAAAACAACAATTAGATGTCCACTGCACTGATGGTAGTGTTTTGAAACACTTAGTTGCATAGCTAGGGGCAGGTAAACGCTAAGCAGCACTGAGACTGATTAAAATAACATTTTCAGAAATTTATTTTTTCTTTTAGAAAGGGCTTTATTTAATGTACTGAGGTTCCTACCTTCCACTCTTTAGAATAAAAACAAACTTAGGATCAAAATTATTTCATTGCACCCTTGAGCATGGACATGTCAAGTCACCCATGTAATTACATGTATGTATTCCAAATAAAGCTTCCTGCTGTTGCTTTCAACTACAAGAAGACAAGCTGTGATTTAGATTACTTTTCTGCTCAGAGCATCCAACCTATGCCCACAGATTTAGGAAATTCCTATCAGTGGTACCCAAAGAAGTTAATACTCCCGTGTAGCTACAGTAAGTAGAGAACAGCGCTGTACTGCGAGGTCTTCAGCTAAGAAAAATCCCTGTAGGGATTCTCTCCACAGAAATATGCTGACCTGTGGACCTCTGAGCTTCTTGCTCTCTGTTCTTTATCGAGACTACCCCTGTAAGAAAATAGCTTTCGGAAATCTACCGGCACATTGATCAAAGCATCACACGCGCCTAAGGAATCAGATCTGGCCGCAGCAGACCGAGCTGAAATACACTCTCAGGCTGGCTACAGACTGCACATAGGATGGCAAAGATAAATAACCCGACACTGCGGCTTAATAATACTGCTTGCTCTTCCAACTGCTTTCTTGTTTGTTTTCTATTTGGTTATTTTTTAACTTCAAGGTCAACTTCAGATGCAACTTCCCCCTAAGAATCTGCAAAAGCTGCCTGTACGCGCCTCAGAGAATTGCAGAGCCCAGAGAAAAAGTAACACTGATGCTGATGAGGGTCACAGTCCGGTCTGACTGTCGCCTTTTGGTTCATGTTGGCTGTATAGACAGTGAAATTGCATTCACGGAGAGCAGAGAGCCAGAACTTTCCCCAGCTGCAGCTCAAACTCATATCCTGAAACACAGCAATGAAGACAAGACGAATAGATTTTCCCCTTAAAGCCTTCAGACCATCTTGGTTACTCGTGGAATTTGTTGCCAAATTACCAAGTGTATGTTCCTGGGCAGGCTCACTCCCTGGCTCCTGGCAGTGCAGTTCAACATCTGACCACATAATTGATGAGCTGCCTAACAGCCTTTTGCACATCACTTCCACTGAATTACTGCACATCTGGACCTCCAGCTTTTCTCACAGGACTACGACATTTCCGAAGTGAGTGGTTACGGCACTCAGGTTGTGGAGCACAAGCAGAAATGAGGACCTACAGAGGACCCACAGAGAAGAGAGTCTAACCCAGCCAACATCCTAAGCAAGGAGAGAGCAGCTGTTGGGAGCTAGTTAGCTGGTAGAGAATATCAAATGTTCTGTCTCTCATTACAGGGCCTTTCTTCATGTGGTTTCAAAGCCCCATCTCTCATCTCGCCACAGGGCTATGCCTTATCTCTTAGAGGTAAGAGCAGAGCATGCCCTGTCCCTTTCGGTGGAACTGTCAGTCTATATGAATACTGAGTCATTTAACAGAATACCTCAGGAATAAGGGAAGTATGAACAGTCCCGCTCATAGCTGTACACTGTGCCCTGGTGACTTGTAACCCTCACACAGCTCTACAGAGGGAAAACCTTCCTCCCCAGGTGCCCTTCTCAAGCACCTGTAACTTAGACGTGAGTCCCACCCACATTAAGGATGCTTTTTAAAAATATTATGTTGAAAAATCAGTTTTAGATATTGAAATACTTATTTTGACCTCGTTTTTTAACGTCTGGTAGGGTTTCTATAAAGCAATTTTACCACTCGATCTTTGAAATGTGTACTTACATGCAAGAAGCTTAAAATCCAAATTTCATGAGTCAAATGTCTCAATATGTTTTACTAGACGAGCACCTAACGTTTATTCTAACATTTAAGAGAGGAAAAAATCTGGGTACAGAATCTAGACTCAAGGACTGAGTGAGAAATCCAAAGCTTCAGGCACCCCAGAGTTGCCTTATGCACTAGACAGAATGAAATCTGTGCTACTAGAATATGGGGAAAGCTATAATTGGTGATGCTGTACCCTGCAACATTTTACCAGGAAGAAAACTGGTCTGAGTTATGCTTTGCTTTCAGTCTTTAACAAAGTGCTGGGAACTATTTGTGATTAGCATTTGGGGAAGGAAGGAAAAAACCCAACTGAAAAACAAAGTCTACTGCCAGTTAGACTAATGAATCAAGAATACATTTCAGCTAGCTGCTCCTTAAAGAAATCAGGATAATAATAATAATAATAATAATAATAGCCTACAAAAAACCCACCTTGAGTGCGAAATAATGACTGAATAAATGGTGTAGGCTGAAAGAGTAAACTAGACTAAAAGAATTTTCTTACATAGCTCTGAAAATCGATAAACTCAACATTTCATTATTCAATTACAAACAATGCAATAGTTAAAAAAATAATACCTGGAGTGCTACCTAGAGGGTATTTTATAGACTGTAAACCACTCGCTTTGCGGGCTATTGAGGAAAACGCTTTAAGATCAGACTTAATATTTCATTATTTCATTTTAACACTCTCTCCTGTTTATAAAGACCCCACTGCTTCTCACCCAGAGGGGTCTGATTGCATCCCTGTGTAATTAGGGAAGATGCAGAACTGCAGCTAGGGAAGTACAGGAGGCAAAGCTCCTAACGAAAGGGAGCTGCTCAGCTCTGCAAAGGTCCTGCTCACGGAGGATGGGTGGAGCAGTCTCCTCCAAGCCGATTGTGCCCAGCCCTCGTGTTCACAAAAGGATGAAGAATTGGGGTCTCTCTCCCCTTGTTCATCTTATACAAATCCCAGGAAAACTTGCAGCCTTGTCACTGGGTGACTGTATTTCAGTGCCTACACGTGAAGGATTCAATAAAATTATTTATTGAAAAAAGAGAGCGGAGCGAGGACCCGGTGAGTTTTCTGTTAAATTGGAATCCTCCACAGATTAAAGGCTGAGTAACCTGTGGGTGATTTACCCTTGACAGACACAGTGTCTACTTGCTGCTTGTTCGGCAGTTGAGTAAGAAAGCTTCCGGATGCGTCACCAGGATGGGGGGAGGCT